TTTAGGGTTTTCAAAGAATAACTAAAACATGGTGAAAATGTATGTGACAATTTTAAAAACATACTTCCTGTTTAAATAGCTGTTAAGCTTACATGTAAAACTAGAGGAATCCATTAGTAAGGGCACACCCATGCAAACAAGAAACAACCGGAATGGGTTGCCACAACAGCAGAGCAACCTGCCACTTTCACTACCAAGGTCATCCAGCTGAGCAGGAGAGAGAGAGAGAGAGAGAGAGAGAGAGAGAGAGAGAGAGAGACTGAGCAGGGGAGCATGTTAGTTGTTACAACTATGCCCACTACCCATTCTTGCTGGGCCAACAAACAACTGTTCACTCAAGGTTGCAGTTTTATCACAGGTTGGAAAACCTGCTGCAAGTAACAGCAGCTTATAATCATTTCTTATCACCTTCTGTACCACTTGTGAAATCTAATTCAGATTTGGAAAGGTCAATGTTCATGATGATTATGAAGGTAAGTATGGAAGTATGGTAAGTAATAACTACATATACAATGATAAATCAACAATCTGCCTCCCAGAGCATGACTGATAACTCGTTCAAGCCTCAATGATCTTTAGCTCTGTAAACATAGACATTAAATGTAGACAGATTGTACCTACAGATAGAGAATTCTGGGGTAGTGTCACATCCTGCACACTGCCTACATACGCAAACTATGCCACCCCCACATTCTGCCTACAATTAATGAACAGAGTGGCTTACGCTATATGCCCGGCAGCCGGCATATATCTGACGGCTGCAGAGCACGGTCTTCGATTTCTTAAATGCCCGGCAGTTTTTAATTTTCAGCATTATCTCAAGTAAACAAGGGTTAGGGTTAGGATTAGGAACTGCCGGGCATTTAGGAAATCGAAGACCGTGCCGGGCTGCCCGCCCGGCTGCTGGGCATATAGCCACAGCGATTAATGAAAGTGCCACATTCCTGCAGAAATGAAAGTGCTTTTATTGTAGAGTAAAATGGTTGGGATAAATGTGTTAAGTTAGTATTTTTACCCACTAACTTCACACCCATGCACAAACCCTGCCACTTCTACTGAAAATTAAGTTTGTTAGAAGTCATCAAGTGGCGTAGTTTGTGAGGTAGGTGTGTGCAGGATCTAACACACTACCCGAATTCTTCGACAGAGACGGTTGATGAATGGAATTTGTATTTCACTTTTTGTGGCTTAAAACCATAGCCCAAGGAGTAGGGAAGGCAAGGATGGTATAATGAATAGCAAGTCGATTATTGCGTCCGAGCACGTGTAAGATAGTGGTTAAAACCAGTTTAATCAGCGGTGAAGTTGTTCGATAAAATCCAAATTTTATAGTTATGCTCTAGTCTAGAGACAGAATATTTGCAATATAATGCTGACTGGTAGGCCTACTTAATAATAGTAATACTAATAGTATAGTATTACTATTACTATTACGTATTAGGCTAAACCGACCAGGCTCTACAACTGTAACACGGCGCCATCGAGAAGGGAACTTGTGGCCCCTATTATATTAAAGTATTAGGCCTACTACTACTAGGTAGACTTATTTCTACAGAGGTTTCGACGAATTATTACAAATACAGCACTGCTCGAGGCTATCCCTGCGTAGAGTTAGTCCTTTTCACCATACCGAGACCGAATTCAACGTAGGTTGAAGTAGATCCTACTAGTACTAGGACTAACCAAGGAAAGGCCAAGGGCAAGGCAGGGCAGTGAAATGACAATGCGCCGTAGATTTCACATCAAATTAAATACAAACATTTGCATGAATATGGGTACACATTATAAGACACATGAGCACTAACTATCAAGCATTCAGATGTCACATACCATTTTGATGAAAGTTTCCTTGTTGCGGTGAGACAAGACAACGACAGCAGCAGTACGAACACGAGAACGACTGAAAGTCAAGTACCTCAGACCCTGGCACCGAAGAACGAACACCGGCGAAAACGTTCGCTTTCCGTACGGTTGCCACGTGTAAAATATTTCGCACGACTGATGATTTACGTCAGTAATGTAAAATAAAATAAAATAAAACTATTTACAAACATATTTAATATATTTTTAGTGGTTAATATTTTTTAAAAGCTTCGTTATATTATAATAATTCAGAAAGATTGCCGTGGGACTACATTGAGTCATGTTTGCATAATATAGATCGATTTAACAGCGGTGGAAGGATATGACAATTCAAAATATGGCGACCCCCATCAATTTATACAAAAGTTAATGTGTTGCCAGTTCTCCACGAAAAAATCATAAAATGAACAAATATTAAACCAAAGAAACCAGTAATAATAACTGTAAGGGTGGATAAGCAGTACAATGTGTAGTTTACACGGTTGTGCATGATGGTAATCGTTGTGAATGACTGCTGAGAGTTGTTATATATAGTCAATGACCGCGTGTTAGCTCCAAGTAAGCCAGTTGGCATCGGCGTACGCCAGCGATCTTAATGTCTCGAGGCTATGGGTACCCAGTCCCATTCGCTTCATACGTGTAACGAGACAAACGAGGCGGTCGGTCGGCGCCAGATTTCGATAATAAGCCTTGGGAATAAATGTCACGATTTGAGAGTATTAGCATGAGCAAGACCACTAACACAACCCTAACACTAACCCCTATACCATAACCCTAACCTAACCCTAACCCTAAATCCATAACCCTAACCACTAACCCTACCACGCAAAAAAGGGGCTTGAACCGACGACGGCTGGCGCTACCTCCACCCACTGCGCTCAAGAAACGGTTAGCTACGCTGCATAGTGATAGATGATCCTATAAGCCGCGTTCAACAGGTATGATTTGGCTTCGAGCCAAAATGTGCTTAGATTTGGCTCGGGCCGGTTTTGAGTCGAGCTTCACGACGTCACTATCCTCATAAATAAGATAGAGATACGTAGAAGATATAATAGAGATAGATAATAGATTATATTTATAGAGATGCAAGTGTCACACCGTACGCAAGTAGGGAGCGAAGTAATACTCATTACTACTGTCGTCAAATGTCATAATTCAAAATTCAAATAAATTTTAATTGCACAATATCTCACACTCACAAGATACTTGGACAGTATGCTCGCGACAGATGGCGTGTGTGTAACATTTAGAGTGTTTACTTACGTTCCGAGTCAATTATCAATCTTGAAAACGTGCATCACTGAATCAAATTTTCAAATTTTTACTACTGTTTTGCGACTTTATTTTACTCCGAAGTACACGTGTTGACACTCGCAGATCTACCGCCAAACACCGAGTTCTACCGCTCTACCCTCTCGCCGAAAGCTGGTGCTAAAATTTGGCTCGGCCTGGTCCACGTTTTCGATGGGACCAAATCTGGCACGGGCCTAATTCAGGCTCGGGGCCAAAAACGTCTGTGTGAACACTCGGCTCGAGCCAAATCTAGGCACGGGCCTAATTAGCTCGGCCAAAAACGTCTGTGTGAACACGCCTTATGTCCCCGGGTTACTGCCGGAATCGTACCCTGGTTACGGTCCGTATACCGGACGTACCCTTGGTAGCTATATTATATGCCGGCCCGTACCTCGGCCTAAGCTCCACTAACGATCTAGGGAGTCGCCTACCTGCCTACTCCCTAACCCTAACCCGAACCCAGGCGAACCCTATTAGTATACCTAATCCTAACCCTGAACCATCACAAAAATAGTAAACAGTTACGTTCGCGGTATACGGACCGTACCCAGGGTAGACGTTCCGAGACTGGGGGACATAGACCCTATGTAGCGTGAGCTAACCGGGTATTGACGTTAGTCCATCACAGCCTGGTCGGTTAACCGCCGTGTGTGCTGTAGTCAGTAGTGTAACTGTAGCGGCAGGTGCCGACATTGTTCTTTACGCTGCCAAGTGCGTGCGTAGTGGTATGATAGTCCACAGTAGTGGTAATGATAACGTCGTAAACATTGTCTTGCAATTCAAAAAGTTCTATGTCAAGGGACTTATATCGAAGACCGAGAGAAGATAGAAAGTTGATAAAATTTACACAATTCAACACTGGATCACAGTAAGAAAGATCTTCAATTTGCGATTACACCAAAGAGAAAGGAAGATAAATTCTATTTGATTCGCAATCATCATTTCAATTCACAATCTCGGCTTACCTGGAATTGAACATTTGCATTTTCAAAATTAAATAAAGTTTAATTTATTGCAGCAGATAATCGTAGATCATACAGCAAATATGCAGCATAACTACAATAAAACAAATTCCTAGGCTTAATAAAAACATCATAATACATTGATAATTATATTTTTGTTATTTAACATAAATTAACCGTTCTATCCGAAAAATACAACCAACAGTTCAACTAGTGTAATAAAATACAACTTCCTAAACTACAGTAAACGAACAACGATCAGCTGGCTGTCAAGAGTCACTGCATTTAACAAGAAGTCAATTTTTTGTTACTCATCTGACCATAGTTCAATGCAGCTTGTAGAATCGCATGATCGCGTTGCTCCGTGCGGTCCGTCCGAGCGTACCGTCCGTGCGTGCCGTCAACATTGGGCGAACACATCTAACCGCGTCGGCGTACGGGTCACTGATATCGGGACGTGGGGGGTAATCCGAAAATCGAGTTGATCGTCGAAGTCTCGGGGGTCCAAAGTCAAGGTCAAGAGGTTAAAAAGAAGGGGAACATTCACTCCTTAACTTAAGGTATAGGGAGGAAATGCAAGACATTGCGGCACAAATCTAAACGGCTCGACCTAGGTCTCGTGATATGTCGGTGTATAGCAATCATGGTAGGAAAAGCCATCACTGTGCCGAAATGAGGTCACAGGTCAAAGGTCCAGTGGCACCAGGGCAGATTTTATGACATTTACTCGAAGGCACCTGGTCTGACGGAGCGATTCGAAAGAAAACTGTTTTTTGTTTTCAGCGTGACCTAGCATGTTTTATGGCTTGTATGTGAAAGGACCATGAATTCCCTTCTGCTGACATGCGAAGAGTAATGTCGGATAACCTTTTGACCCTCAGGAGGAGGGTTAAACTTTGATTTGTTGACTGTCTGTAGAAAGAATTTGGACTGCCAGGTTTGCTAGTAAATCTATACATGCCTGGATTAAGCTAAATGTCACAGTGGAAATTTCAAAAGCTAAATTTGGTTAAAGAAGGATGTATGTTCCTTAAATCGTATAATTTCTAATGTCATTTGTACTGTCAGGTATGTTACCTGTAACGTATGCCACTGCAGTTGCTGCTGCCAGTGCATCGTTTGGTGGCCAGTTTTTTGGGGCCCTGCGTTAATTGGCTAACAGAGTGGCAGCTCTCTATTGCCAATTTGGGCAGCCTGTAGGCTTGCGTAGGTAAATGGATAGAAGTGCTTACCTATTCGTCTTTGCAAATAGTTGTTGCTACTACGTATGTATGGGAAGGCTTTCCATCTTTAATCTGAAAGACACTTAAACGTACGCGGGCCTCATCTCTGCAACTTTCATAAACGATCCCAAACGAACACTCTTTTGAGAAGGTTCCTGATTACGCATCCCTGTGCATTCTCCACTAGTTTTCGGCGTGTATGTGAACACATTGGGTCTCACAGGTTAACTAGAATCTCCACCACTACCACCAATAACAGAGTCACCGCAGTAGAGGTTAGATGAGGTCGGCTGTTCGCTCTGCGCACTTGTTTTACTACAACATTAATATCATATAAACTGTGTATACGTCCACGTCATTGGAGTAGGATGTGACAATGTGCGTGCGCAGTGCAGCTTGAAAAGGACAGTGTGCTTTGGCGCAGCCAAGCATAGATCTGACGAGGACAGACGGCTCACCCCTGAATAAAAGGGAGGGTTCGATTAGTTCTATGTTGTTTTCCCACCCACGTTACATCTATGACAACATTGAGGACTCGGTCACCATCTTTAAAAAAATAATTATGAAATGCGCACGTTTTGAGATCGTACAAGCTTACTTCAGAGTTTAGACTCATCTTTGAGGGCCTGTTTAGTAGCAGAGAATTGCAAGTTTTGGCATCCCCTAAAAAAAGCATGGTGCATCATTTCTTTAACATCTTAACTTGATTTGGTGATAATTGTTTATGGAAATCTGATGAATTCGACAAGTTGTCATTTTTGTTCCCGGAATGTTGACTCTCTGTCAAATCTTTGCCAAATCCCTAATTACTAATTAATTAATTAATCAATTATGTAATTAAACATGTGTTGATAATAAGATGACAAATCATGTATTTGATCCCAAGGTAGCTTCAATCGACTTTTGTAAAATATTAAGGACTCGCTCCGTGTGTTACCGCGCCCCCGCCCCGGCCGCTCAAGAAAGTCATTTGAGCATTGTTGTGTGCCTTGTGCATTTGCGTTGCTATCCTTCGATCGAGGCAACTTTTGTCAAACCACAATACAAAAGCAATGGACATAGAATAAATTTATTGCGTATGAAAATAGCCATAACTCTTTTCTTTTTAAAACTCTAATAGGTATGGTATTAGTTGGAATTAATATGGTAATTCAAATTTTAATAATTGAGTCATTTTGTCTTCTTTTTTCTTTTTTCTATTATGGCGAGTTTAGGTCTACCTCCGGTAATATTATTTGAATCATCAAACCTTTTGTAACATCTCTACATTGGAACTACTGGCTGGTGCTAATTTTGTTTTTATTTTATGTTTACCAGCACATATAATATGGCGTCTGCAAACACATCTGCTAAAAAATATGCTGCTGGAACTATGGATGAGATGGATATCAGCAGCATGTTCCATAAACTGGGGAACAAGTTGGGATGGCATGAGCATGGTGATTTGGACACGGCTATACAGGTATCTGAACCTTGATTTAAACCAACAATGCATTCATGGTTCAATCCATACACTAATTACACCTTAATTTCTTACTTCATTTATCTTTGTATGATCTATATGACAATTTAATGTTTGCTTTATGTATTTTTCTAGACATTGTCAGCGAAGGCCAAACGACATAAATCGAAACTTAAGTTATCGTCGGAAAAAAAGACGCCTGTGGCTAAAAAAGAAAATAAGAACCCAACGAGTAAAATGTCAGATTGTAGAAACGTATTGCCCCTAGCAGAGGAATTGGGCGATGTGATGAAGCCTTTGGCTAATTTTGATAGCAATAATTGCTTAGAGCAGACCCCCACCTCCACTGGGAGTCTAAGTGAAAGAAGACGAGGAAAACTATCCAGGAAGAAGGGAAAGTTGAGAACTAAAACGGACACACCAACTAACGTGGAAAATCACCACACATTTGCTTTCCCAGCCCCCGTCAGCCGAAACTCAGGTGCGCATTCGAAGACGAAAACTAATCGCTCGCGGAGAATCGTCGACTGCAGCTCTACGGGTAGCGACCCCGAATTCCAATCGTCGTCAACGCAGGAAGACGGCGGCGGCAGCGACGCTAACGGAGAGGGTGGCGGTGGCGATGACGATGGTTTCTACGAGGACTCCATCTTCATTCACGGCGACGGCGACCCGGACGACGACGGCGGCATCAAGGAGCTGCCTCCCGACGTCTCCGCCTACTTCTCGACAACGGTTGTCGCCGGCGACGGATTCGCGGAGGCTGCGAGCTCGGACGGCGGTAACCGCGGCGACTATGGCGGCACCTACGCGGACCTGCTCGCCGCGGAGGATCGTTTCTCGCACGTGACCGTGCGCAGCCGCGGGCCGCGTCGCTCGCGCAGCATCCTCGACGAATGGGACGACGTGCCGGTGTCTGAGAGCACCGTCCTATATACCGGCGCATCGCCCAGCGCGGGTCACGCACAAAACCTCGCTCGAGACGTAACACCTGCTGCGACGGGTGTTGCAGACTCTGCAGGCATGCGCGAGGTGTCACCGTCCGTTAACAAACGGTCGACGAGCGAGGACACAAAAGCGAAAGAGCTAGAACGAGGGAAAAACATTTTCTTCGAGCCGCCTTCGTTCACGAAAAAAGCCACCGCCATGCCAAAGAGTACCGGAGGTAGTTCACTCGCAGATTCGCGTGTGGCGGGAGCCGTCGATGGCAATTTCGGCGGGAATTGGGAGCGATTCGATAGGAAGGTTGAGAGTTGGGGAAAGCTCAAGCGAGGATCATCTCTCTACTTTACGTGCCTCGACGAAAGCGTCTTCATCCCCGATCTGGCGACGAGGTTGCGCGTAAAAGAGGCTGCCGACAACCGCAAACCGCCGACGAAGGAAGCAGCGCGGAAAAACATCTTTCAAAGCCTAACCGATCTCTTACGCGAGGAGAAGACCATCGGTGACCCTGGCGCGCCGTCGAAAGTCGACAGCGACTCGCCGGAAACGACGAACGCAAGTAAGACGAGCGTCGCCGAGGTCGTGAATCTCGTCGATTCGTCGGACGACGACGACCCCGGAAATTCGCCGCGACTAATCGACGAGCACGTGTAGAGAGAGAGAGAGAGAGAGAGAGAGAGAGAGAGAGAGAGAGAGAAAGAGATGGGGAGGAAGGAAGATGGAGGGAGAGAGAGTGAGGGAAATTGAGGGAGAGGGCGGAAGGAGGGAGAGAGGAGAGGGAGAGATGGTGATAAAGAGAGGGAGAGGGAGTGAGTAAAGGGAGGGAAATGGAGGGAGGAGAAGGAGGAGAGAGAAGGGGTATAGACAGAGAGGAAGAGAGAGCAAAAGGGAAATAGGGGGAGAGGAAGAGAAGGCGAGAGAGTATGATAGTGGAAGAAGGGGAGGTATAAAAAGGCAGAGAACGAAGGCGAGAAAGGGAAAAATAAAGAGAGCGCGATGAAACGAGAGAGCGACTCATGCGCGCGCACACACACGCACATACGCACGCGCGCGCACACACACACACACACACACACACACACACACACACACACACACACACACACACCACGCCCCTGTCTCCCCACGTTCTCTCACGGTAGCATCAATCAATGTGAGCGAGAAACCTGACGTCATCACCACCAGTCCCCGCGCGTATCTTTCGCGGAAATACCCCGTAGACGTATGGATGGATCCACCGTGGATGGAAGCTGTGCGTGAATATATCGAGCCCAGATCGTCAGAAGCGCAGCACATGTGTGGCCAACCTGTGCCGACGGCCATATGGCCCCGTGTGTGGGGGAACAATGCTGCTGTTGCTGGCCCTGACAGATACATGTGGCCCGGGCAAAACATGGTAACGTCGAGAAAATACGAGCGAGTGCGAGGCCGCGCGCAAAGAACGGGCCAGACGGAATTTTATGGCTCTTGTCTAAGAGATGGTGGATGGTAACGTGGCACCGGCTGTGAGAGTTGAATTCGGGGACACGGGGGTAGCGGCGTACGTACGAATGTGCGCGAGAGAGAAGAAGAACCGGGGAAAGAGAAAGAGCATAAGAAAGAGAGCGAGCAAGAGAGCGATAGAAATGGCGAGTGAGCAAGAAAGAGAGAGGGGGAGAGTGCGACAGGGAACGGGATTGTGCGTATGTGTGCGTGCGTGTACTTCTGCGTGTACTTGTGTGTGAGTGTGCGTGTGAGTGTGTGATTACGTGCATGCGTGTTTGTACACATCCATGCGCGTAACGTCGCACATACGCGCGTGGGCCCGCCAGTGCCGGATCTGAGGCGAGTGCATACACATATTCGTTGCTTGCTTGACTGCATGGCGCTCCCGCGTCGTGCGTTCATACGTCGCCGCTACATGAGGCGTGACGCGTTAGTCTACTGCGTACATCTTACCCGCGTGCGCGCGTGCGTATATACATGTGTGAGTGCGTTTACATGTGCGTGTGTAACTGTGTATCGTAACTGGGCCCGTGTATCGAGACCGTGTACGCTGCCAAACGCCCGATTCACTTCCATTCTTAACGAGAAGGGCGCGAGAGCTTGTATGCGCGCAGACGAGAAATTTTTAACGCCGTTTGCGACCTCTGGCGGTGAACCTTCGCCTCGAGCACTAATTAAGTCACGACTATTTGGAGAGCGTGAAGTCAGTGGGAATTCTAATAACAGATTGAATGTTCTCGAAACTTGTGTTTATGTAGAACATAATAGAACGTTGTTCCAACACAAAATATACCTATAGGTAGGATCTAGAAAGATCTTCGTTTATCTGATATCTGTTGTTGATATGATATATATCAAGAGCTAATAATACCTTATTACTAGCTAGGTATTATTAGCTCTTGATAATATATATTATTTATCTATTTATCTGCTCGCAGGTGTGCGACAGTGCAGAGAGAACGCGTGACACGCTCGCCCACGAGCTCTGCCACGCCGCCGCCTGGGTCATCAGCGGCTCGCGCGACGGCCACGGCCCGCTGTGGCGCCAGTGGACGGCGCTCACATGCGTGCGCCTGCCCGGCCTGCCGCCGATCGGCCGCACCCACACGTACGTTATCGAGACGAAGTACGTGTACCGCTGCACGCGCTGCGACTCGCAGGTCGGTCGCCATAGCAAGTCACTCGACATCACGAAGAAGGTGTGTGGACTCTGCAAGGGCAGGTAGGTCGTCGGAGTGAGAGACACGGGGAGAAGGTGACATGGGGAGGTGACAGAGGAAGAAGGTGATACAGGGAGAAGGTGACACGTCGTGTCTAGATGTGATACGGGGAGAAGGTGACAGAGGGAGGAGATGCAGGGAGAAGATGACAGAGGGAGGTGACAGAGGAAGAAGGTGATACAGGGAGAAGGTGACACGACGTGTCTAGATGTGATACGGGGAGAAGGTGACAGAGGGAGGTGATGCAGGGAGAAGGTCACACAGGGAGAAGGTGACATAGGGCAAAGGTGACACAGGGAGGTGATGCAGGGAGAAGGTCACACAGGGAGAAGGTGACATAGGGAAAAGGTGACACAGGGAGAAGTTGACACAGGGAGAAGGTGACAGGGAGAAGCTGACACAGGGAGCGGGAAATAGGTGTGTAAGATGAAGCGAAGAAAGGGAGGTGGAGATATATATGCGATGTTGGGTGACACAGGGAGAGGCTATATGTATATGAGAAGACGGAGAGAGACAGAGAGAGAGAGAGAGAGAGAGATATGTATGTAATGTGACCCAGGAAAAGGTAGACACTAGACATGTATGTAAGATGACTCAGTGAGAGGTAGATATGTATATAATGCCGATTTTAAACTTGTAGCTAGTGCGGTGACATGGTTGTGAGATGTGATGACAACAGACTATTAGCCAACACATCAAATTCAGATTTGTGGCGAGTAATATTGTAACAGCTACGTTGTCAATGTTCAGTTGTTTTTTTGCACAGGTTTCAGCTGCTAGTGCGAGGCAAGCCGGCACAGGGCGGTGTGCAGCAGCCACAGAAGCCGTTGGGAGGGTTCGCTTTGTTTGTGAAGGACAACTACGGCACGGTAAAGCAGCGAGCGAACGGTGCGCAGCACGCTGACGTCATGCGTCTGCTCAGCGCAGAGTTTGCCGCCAAAAATACAATCTCAGACGCGTAGATCAGATGTTCAGGGTCGTCACCAGCTGCATGAGTAAACAAGTTATCACTCGCTGTTTAATTAAAGGAGGCTGCATTATGGCACAATTTCGATGATGGTGTAATTAGTGAGACCTGGATATCAGAAACTGATAATTAGTTATTAGCAGATTTCTATGGAATCAACATACAAATTGTATACTATATAGTAATATTCGCTGGCAGCAAGATCAAATCCACCCCCATCACGCTAATGCTACAGCATATATATATATATATATATTATATATATGTATTTTGAGCGGTAGAGTCCCGCGCAGCGGCGGCGCCCTCTTGAAGTCCGATTCGAGCAGCGAGAGCGAGTTTGACGGCTTCCTCGCGAGACTGCGGACGCCGAAGAAGACGACGATGGCGACGGATTCGACGCGGAAGCAGAGGGAGGCGGATTGCCGCTTCATCCACGACTCGTCAAGCGACGACGACGACTACCCGAGCCTCGCGACTCGCATACTCCCGAGGCCCACGGACGGGTCCTCGGGGTCGATTGCGCAGCTGCCGCGGAGTGACGGAACCACGGACGGACGAACGAGAGGCGGCGTGTCGCCGCGGCCGCGTCCTGGACAACGTGGCACCGTGTCGCCGCATCCTGGACAACGTGGCGGTGTGTCGCGCCCGCGTCCCGGACGAGGTGGCGGAGGCGCGAGCGTCAAGAGTCGCGCCGTGCCGCCGACGATCGTGACTCGCGCCGACCCCGCGTATGCACCGCGCCTCGACTTCCTGGCGTCGCTGAGTGCACACGTGCCGGCGGGGCGGCAGCGACACGTGGAGGCTGCGCGCTACGTGCTCGAGTTCCGGCATCGCCGCGACGCGCTCGTGCGACAGCTGTTCGCGCTCTACAACGCGCGCGCGTTCGATGGACGCCTGCCTGCTGACCTCGCCGTGACCTGGAACGCTCGCATGACGAAGACGGCGGGATTCACTAACACATTTGAAACCTCCACAACGAACGTCGTATTTCCAAAATACCGATTGCGAATTACCCGTAATCAGAAGACACAATACCGTGCGCGACTTACTCACTCAGCCCGTCCGGAGAATACCACGTAATGCGTGTGCCCAAAAATACGCGTACGCGCAACTGCGACTCCCTTATAAGCAATCGGCAACGGCGACACACGAGAGCAAATAAACCAGGAGCACAGCAGCCACAACAAACGCCATAAAAAGTAGACTGCCGCGCACTATAGAGCGCCGCCAGCTGGCGCACAACAGTCCACTCCTACACAAAACTGTCGGACGCGGACCCGACATAAAACACCCAGGTGGCCCAGAGAAACCGTAAGCTCACGTCGCAAGCAAGCTAAAAATCCGCCAGCCGCTGATGAACAGGCGCGGCGTGAAGCGTCGGGCCGACGTTCAACGACGTTCTCGTCTCGCTGTCGGCACCCCTGCGAGCAGGATAAATAGATAAATAATATATATTAATCAAGAGCTAATAATACCTAGCAGTATAAGGTATATTAGCTGCTTGAATATTATAATTTATTAGTATATATATATAGTCTATATATATATATACATAAATGTATATATAAATGTCTGTCACACACCTGCGGAGAGAAACGCGCGCGCGAGAAAACACTGTTTAAGTGCTAAATTTTCATACTCAAGAAAAATTCACGAATAAGTATAGTCACTAATAAGGGATTTCATCACTGCCGCTGCCGATTAAAAAAATAAAAAATATCCCAGCATGCTATTTACATATTTGCACGTCAGAGCCTGAAAGTATATTGCTCACCAATATACACACATATGGCACCACCATCCCTACTACCGTACTTCGTGAGAGCTCGATGCGATAAATAAATTACTAAATAAATAAATATAATGCAGCATGCTTTTACATATTTGAACGTCAGAGCTTGAAAGTATATTGCTCACCATTGGCACGCCACATATATACCACATGTATACACATGTGATATACACACCCACAGTCGCACACACACCATACACAGAGCTGCCAACCTGTGATCATGAAAATAGTTAAGGCTTTTCTTTATGGGCAGCAGGCGCCATTGTTGTTTATGTATGCTATGCGCGCAATGAAATGATGGGACTAATCTAGAGCACGCGAGAACAACGGAACGCGTGATACCAATATGGCTTGCGCAACACAATCGCCAGATATTTCTCGGCTCGCTGCAAAAAATCGTAAGTTTTTCAGTTTGAACGCACATTCGTAGAAACATCAATGGAATTCGTAAGGAATACGAAAATCGTAAGGTTGGCAGGTCTGCATACACATATTGGCACCGCCTCCGCCACCGCCACCGTACCTTCGTCGACAGCTCGATGCGAGCACTGCGACCGTATCGCGGCGCTGCGGGTCCACAGCGTTGTAGTCAGAATCG